TCCATTGTATTTTCATTATTAAGCAATGGTTCATATCAAATAAACTTTAGGGGAAAATTCCATTTACAATAGCTATAAAAAATATAATAAATTTAACATAAGAGGTATAAGACTTGTACAATGAAACTACATATCACTGTTGAGAAATTAAAGAGACCTAAATTAATGGAAAGACATCCCATGTTCATGGATCGGAAGACTTAATATTGTCAGATGGCAGTACATTCCAATTGACCAACAGTTCCATGTAATACTTATAAAAATTCCAGCTATCTTTTTTTTGCAGAATTGACAAGCTGGTGCTAAATTCACCATGGAAATACAAGGACATAGAATACCCAAGACAATCTGGAAAGAAGAGCAAAGTTGGGGGACTCCTATTGTCCTGATTTCAAAACTATTAATAACTGCACAGCTACAGGAATTAAGACAATGTGATATTGGCAAAGGATAAACATATAGATCAGTGGAATAAGATTAAGAGTCTAAGATAAATCAGAAAAAAATTAAAATAAAATTGTAATGTTGTTAAGTTAGCTTCCCAATGCTAAATCAAAATCAAACACGTTCTCTAAAGAACATCCACAATTACTCTCAATTTTGTTATAATACATGTACAGAGAATCATAAGTATCAGCTCACCTGATTAAACTAATTTTCTTATAAAGAAAAATACCCTTCACATATCCTTGCACAAAGATACTATTACTATATGTGATTAATATTGAAACCCAACTAGCTGAACAAAAGTTCAACAAGTTTTATACCCCACATACTTTCATTTCCAAGTTTAAAAGAAAATTAAGAAATTATAAACTGCTAAGTATAAAAATTATGTCATAATTGAAAGCTATGTGAAGACTGAGATTATATCTTTCTCAATAAATGAAATACTCTTTGACATAAACTACAGAACAAACAGCAAGTTTTAACTACTAATTTTTTTAAGTTAGTACAAATTATGGGATTTGTTTGGAATCTTCTGATATAATAGTAAAACTCAAATTATTCCATGCATAATCTGAAAAATACCAGATATAATTAACAATGATTTTAAAAATGTAAACATTGTCTTTCCTTTGTGTAGTTGTATTATTGTTTAACTAAAAATAGTCCATGTATAAGACAACTAAATATTATTCCATCTGTAAATCTCTGTGTAGTCATAAGAATAACCATAAACAAAAGTCAAAATTACATTCTTGATTTGTTTAAAAATGCAAAACAGAGCTGAGAAGCCATCAACTGTGCCTGATATATTTTCTGAATTATTTTTGTTAATCAGTTATATCAACATGAATAATTCCGTAGAGGCCTATAGATGAATATCTATAGTATGGCATATAGACTCTTCAATAATAAAAAGTTTGTATTTGGGGGGAGGGGGGAAAGGGCATTTTTTGAAACCTTAAAATTTGTACCCCCATAATATGCTGAAATAAAAAAAAAAAGTTTGTATTGTGCAAATGTGCTAAAATAGCATTTCCCTGAGATGAACTGCCTTGCTAGCCTGCAGAAATAACTGTAAAGCTGTATTCACATTTTAATCTGAATTATAATCTAATCTGACCCCCCAAAAAATGAGTGTTAATGGTTTTTTATAATCAGTTGATTTGTGCTGATACATCTTTTAAGTTACTATTTTTAAATTTGTTACTATACCAGTGTAATTAGAGAACTTGTTTAAAATGAAACTTTCTAGAAACAAAGATGCACAATAACAGCTACTTCAGAAATAACTTTCATGTTATTTCTTCAAGTGCAAAAATCAGAAAAAAAAAATAAAAAAGAAAAAAAGCTTCCCAAATACCCATGTTGCTCATGTCAGCATATTTTTATATTTTTAAAGATCAGACAAGAATTTATTAGTTTAAAATATTTGCTTTTTTTTCTTTCATTTATATAACCAGGTAGGATCTCTCATTCATGTATTTTTAATTAGAAAGCTATTTACATGAAATAACTTCTTCTCACTGAATAGTCTCAGAAATGCCACTGAGATAATCTTCAGACTTCATTATAAAATTTGTCCACTCCTGACAAACGTCCTCCATGGAGAATTCTTCACCACCATATTCCAGAGGAAGAATGTCTGGGAAGTGCTGAAGTAAGCTTTGTTTGTAATTGTCCCCATGCATATGAATCTGAAATAGCCAAAACATTTTAGATAGTATGCCCTCTACCTCACTATATTAGATGCATTTCCAATGGAAAATCAACTTCATAAAACAAGGGACTCTAGGATAGTAGGTATAGATACTAAACCCTTTATTCCTCTGCTTAAAAATCTAAGAATTTTACTTATAGATTGTTTTTTACCTACTTGCTTCAGATTGTATTGCTGTTAATCTAATAATCTTACTATTTTCTTATATTTGCATTCTTATAACTGCATAAAATTTATAAAACTATTCTTTTCCTCTGTCAAAAATAGATTTTTAAACACTAAATAAAATTATTTTATAAATTCTATTCCCTGATGTGCAGGTGATTCTTACCCAACTAATATCCTGGGACTATTCTATAGATGATGAAAATGTACTACCTATTATTAAATTCATATTAAATAGAAGCATATATCTAAGCATACAACCAGGTATATGAGAAATAATTTATGTGGTACAGATCATGGATACTCTTGGCTAGTATGAAATTAAAAGGTAATTATGATGGTTGAGAACCTTAAATTTTAAATATTTTAACCATAAAAATTGATCATAGAATGCCCTGAAATTAAGATAAAACTGTAGAAACTTAAACCAAAAACACATTTTGCTAAAATAAATAAATACATAACCTTTTGCATTCGCTAGGGTAAAATGTTCATCTATGTATTCAATAATCATTTAATAAATACCTAATATGTGCGAGATATTAGGATTGATGAATGGAAAGAGTAACCTATACTCAGGAACCTCACAATCCCAATCCTTAATTTTTTCTAAAATAATTAAATAATCAAAATATTATCAGTTACTTGAGAAGAAATTCTATCTCCTTAGGAAGGAGCAAAATGAGAAAATTTATAGGGTATTGCTAAAAAATTGAAAAGGAAAAAAGTGGCTGGATTGGGGTTAATTCCCCCTATTTTGGTAAGTCTGTTTGATGTCAACTAACTTTCACTTAGAAATGCTTCACCTACTTCTAACCTTTTTATTTTTCTATTTTGTCCATATTCTCTTGTTTATTATGTTCAATTTATTCTTGTTTTTGTTTTTATTTATCCAAAATATAACCCCAAATATAAACACTTATTTTTAGATCTTTAAGAGTTAAACAGGGGGTGGCCAACTATTATCAAGCTACAATGAAGAATAAAAAAAAAAAATGACCCAAAAATTGACTTTTATAAAAGTACTAGAATAAGAAGTGGCCATCTTCACTAAAGCAGATAATTTAGGGGTAGTTTTTCTTGAAGACATATAGACATACTCATTGGATAACTTCCTTTTTGTGTGTGAAACAGAGTCTCACTCTGTTGCCTAGGCTAGAGTGCCGTGGTCTCAGGTTACCTCACAGCAACCTCAAACTCCTGGGCTCAAACGATCCTTCTGCCTCAGCCTCCTGAGTAGCTGGGACTACAGGCATGTGCCACCATGCCCAGCTAATTTTTTTTAATATATATTTTTAGTTGTCCAGCTAATTTCTTTCTGGTTTTAGTAGAGACAGACTCTCGCTCTTGCTCAGGCTGGTCTCGAACTCCTGAGCTCAAACAAGTGCTTCCCAGAGTGCTAGAATTACAGGTGTGAGCCACCATGCCCGGCCACACTGGATAACTTCTAAAGAAGCTCTAGGGTCATAATTTTCTGACTAGAGACAAGATACATTCTCTTTATATTAAAGAATATAGTTTCTAAAATTCTAAATATGCTATTATAATTCACATACCACTCATTATATTTAAATAATTTTTTAGATTTAAATTGTCAAAGCCTTTAGAAATTGTTTTGTGTTCAAGGTATTAGATGATGCCAATGTTTGTCTAAATAAATGCTCTAAAAATTCTCTTCTACAGATTAGTGTAGAAGAATAGTTGCCATTCTTAAGAACTCAGACTCCATTTTCAACCTTTCAAAATTTGTAAGAGATATTAGATATTCACCTGAGATAAGGCTCCACAGGATAGATAAAAAAAAACATCAAATTTCTGGGCTTTAATAAGCCTGGCATGAAATCATATACCTCAGTTACTGTGGTTTTCAGTTGCACTGAAATTGTTTAATTACACTTCACTGTTTAAGAAGAGGATTATTTTTATTTGCATAAATAACATATTCACATACTTAGAAATCAAAACAAGATACACAGTTAAATGTCTTGTTCCCAGCCCTATTCTCTTCTTCTCCACTCCATCCTTGTACTTCTGTTCCCTAAAGGTAACCACTTACTTTATATTATTTTTGGTATATACTTTTAATATAATTTTTATGAAAATATAAATATTCTGATTTCTCCCCCTTTTTTATACAAAAAGTGGCACATCATAAACACCATTTGGCATTTCACTTATTTCTCTTTACAAAACATCCTGAAAATTTTGTTGCATTCCAATGTTTGGATGTATCATAGTTTATTTAACCAGTCCCCTAATGATGAACACTTGCTGGTTTCCAATATTTTGCTGCAATGAATCCTCTCATATATGTAACTTTGTTTATGTGCAGGTATGTATCTGTAGGAAAGATGCCCTGAAGTACTAAAGCTGTGATTTTGATAACTGTAGCCACACTGCCCTCTATAGGAAATACACCATTTTGCATGTCAACTAGCAACGTATGAGACGCCCAGATATCCCTCAACCTTCTAACCAATATCCTTGTTTTTTCAAAATTAAAAATAAGGCCATTAAATCCTGTGCTTATGTGAAAAAAAAATAAAAAAATAAAAAATAAGGCCAGGCGCGGTGGCTCACGCCTGTAATCTTAGCACTCTGGGAGGCCAAGGCGGGTGGATTGCTCAAGGTCGGGAGTTCGAAACCAGCCTGAGCGAGACGCCCCCTCTCTACTAAAAATAGAAAGAAATTAATTGACCAACTAAAAATATATATGGAAGAAATTATTAGCCAAGCATGGTGGCACATGCCTGTAGTCCCAGCTACTCGGGAGGCTGAGGCAAGTAGGATCGCTTGAGCCCAGGAGATTGAGATTGCTGTGAGCGAGGCTGACGCCACAGCACTCACTCTATCTAGCCTGGGCAACAAAGTGAGACTCTGTCTCCAAAAAAATAAAAACATTAAAAATAAATTTTAGTTTATAAAAGTAGTTGGCTTCTTAGATAAATATTCAAAATATTATACACATGGTATGGGTGAGTATGATAAAGCAATGCTTAAATGAAAAAGGGTTGGAAGGTTTAGTGTAGAGGAACTGGGAATTGAGTATGTTTTACTCACCCGATTTTTAATTTTTTCAGTCAGGAATGGTTTAATCATGGAAAAGACAGCATGGAAAATTACTGGTTCATTTATCAAATGGATGCCACGAACTTTCAATGGAAAGGAATCCTTTTGAAAATAAAGAAAAATCTTAATAACAAAACAAATAAATATTACAATCCTATTCCTAATGACAAGTCTCCTCTTTGAACACTTGCTAAACTTACAGTAACACCTAAAGTGTAATTTTACTTTCATAATTATCCATCCCATCAACTTAAAAGCCTGGTTTACAGTTCACTGTCACCAGATTAAGATCTCTAAAAAAAAAAAAAAATTCTTATAGCTTAGGCAAACTATTTTAAGGAATATTAATACATGCATACTTTCACCAGAAAATTTTATTCCTAATTCCATGTAATTTTTTTAGGGACCAATGAGTAATTTGAACATCTATATTTAACTTTTTTCCCTAAAATTTTTATTTTGAGAAAAAAATCAAACTTGCATAAAAATTGAAAGAATAGTACAATAAACACAAACTTTTAAACTTTTCACATCGGTATACATCTTAAACATAAAAGTAATATAGGCTTATTTAGAAAGTTTAAAAAGCTAAGTGTTAAAAGAAAAAAAATAATTTTCCTAACCCAAAGTTGTTAATACAAAGACTTTTCTTTCCAAAAGAACCTTCCAAGGTTATTTTATGTGAAGTTCTATTTTATTTTTCTATGCATAGCTTTTAGAGATATATTGTTAATTTGGAGCTTTTCTTCCAGGTCCCTTCTATGCATAATTTTATTTTAAACATAATTACAAATATGCTGTCTAAATAATTTGCATCCTGTTTTGTTCCATTGATATAACAGCTTTTATAAACATCATGTTTTAATATTGTTGCAGTAATCCATCAAATGGATATACCATAATTTAAGGAACCATTTTGCTATTTCTGGACAAATAAGTTGTTTCTCATTTTCTTCTACTAAAAGTGATGCCGCAGTAACTATCTTTTACGTTTAAAAGGAATGGTGGTTATAAGCACAACTTTTACATTCAGATGACCTAGACTGTAATCCTCACTTCACTGCCGACAAACTGTGTCTGGGCATTGCTATGTCACTTCTCTGACACAGTTTATTAATTTTTAAAATGAGAAAAACAATAGTCATATATAATAGCTCAGTGTGGACATTAAGAGGTAATGCACTTGAAATACTTAGCAAAATACCTGGCACATAGTAAGCTATGATTATTATATGCAAAGTCTTTATTATATTTAAGATTATTCCTTAGCTAGGTTCCCAGAAGTAGAATTGCTGGATCAAAGATAATGACCATTTTAAAAACCTTTTGATTTCTAAAAAAAAGCTATATCAATATATAGCTTTTATATATGTCAATATATACCTACCAAGTATATATCAATATATATATCGATATATATATCTGTATATATATATATATCTGATATATATCAATATATATCGATATATATATCTATATATATCAGATATATATATACAGATATATATATCGATATATATATGATATATACTTGGTAGGTATATATTGATATATGATATACATGATATATATATCATATATATCAATATATATATTGATATATACCAAGTATATATCAATATATACCTACCAAGACTTATGTGACATTTTATTGTATCATTGCTATAAATATTTTTGAGTCAATATTTTAGGGAAAAAAATTTTAATGATAGGAAGATTAAGTCATCACATATTCTTAAAATGTTTAAATTCTGTGATTACTAGTTTTGAATATATTTTTGCAGTTTGTTGCAACATTTTTGATTTTATAAATTAATAACACTTTATTTCCTTTAAGCATTACTGAATTCTATGTATCATTTCTAAAATTTTATTTATGTTTCTAATAAATGTACTATCATGTCTTTTTGTCTAACATATAACAAAATTTAAAACTATTTTGGAAGTATTTAATATTATACCTAACAGGTAAAAATATACACTTACTGTAAGTACTGTAGCAATCTTCTTGGCTACAGATGGGGTAATTTGAAAGGCATGGGAAAACTGCCAACCTTCCATATCAAAGATAGCCTTGATTCCATTCCGTTGAGTTTCTACCTCCTGTACAATAAGCTCGGATGTGATTAGACTTACACGAAATACATCGTAAGCTGTAAAAACTTTTGGGTCCCAGTGTGCTAAAAAAAATAAAGCATATCATATCTCAGCATTGTGTAAAGACTCAGAAAGATTTAAAAGGAAATGAATTCTTTTTAGAGGATCAGTGGAAATAAAAAGATCATGAATTGAATAATAGATCAAATTGGGGTCCAAGAACATGGGTCTGCTTTTCCCTCCCTCCTCAAATCCCTAGCAGAGAACAGATTTTTAAGAGTGTGGGGGAAAAAGAAGAGATGCAGGCTGAATGTTATTGCAAAATGAAATCACCACCTCACATACAGGAGAGGGCTGTGGCTAAAGATGAGAATGCCACTGGGTATGCTCCAAGTTCAGAGATGTTGGAAATGGGAAAAGTGAAGGCCTGGATTATCAGGAGCAATTAGGGCCCCATAGTAACCAAAGAGCTTGCTAAGCAAAATGCCTGAGTAGCAGACAGACAGGTTGATCCTCTGACTATAAGAAACACATGGCAGAGTCATGTCCCTACAGGCTAGACCAGTAAATGTGGGCTTGGGAAAGAAGAGCCAGGGAAGGACCTAGTTAGCTGTCCACACCCAAGGAAAACAGGGAGTACCTAGGCTAAGAAAGGAATTACTGACAATCTAGTCCACACATCTCACCCCTCCCCTGCATCCCTGGGACAGGCCATGGCATACAGAAATTATGGTAATGGACAGGCAAGCAGGTTAAGTAGGTAATCTTAAAAAGAAAATCCATTCATTAAAAATTAGAATATTAAATACACTCACTTGTGTGTGCACACACACAACAGAAGAACCAAACTCAATAGACAAAGACATCAAAACTCAAGCAAACAATTACGAAAGCAGAAGACATAAATAAAAGAAGCATAATAGAAACTGGGCTCCATGGTGCACACCTGTAATCCCAGCTACTTGGGCAGGAGGATTGCTCTAGCCCAAGAGTTTGAGTACAGCCTAGGCAACATAATGAGACAGCCTCCCACTCCCCCAACTCTCATCTCAAAAAAAAAAAAAATTTTAAGAAACAATAGTCTCAGAAAAGGGAAAAAGGATAGTGTAGGCTATTATTATAAGAACAGGCTATTTAAAAAGAAATCAGTTGAGATCTTGGAAATAAAAAGATAATTAAAAAAAAAACAACTCAGTTGATAGGACAAATGATGGAAAAGACACAGCCAATAAGTGAACAGGGAAGATGAAGTTGGAAGATCAAGTTGAGGGACTCTCTCAAACTTGGCACAAAAAAGCCAAGAGTTGATATATATGAATAAAGAGTTAAGAGTCATCTGCAGCTAAATCTAGAAGTTTCTACATCCAACTAACAGGAGTTCTAGCAGGCAATGACAGAGAATAGGGAACAGAGGAGAGAGGAATAGTAACAGTAGAGAAAAATTTTCCAGTATAATAGTGAATGGATAAAAAAAAACAAAACAGTGAATGGGTCTCAAAAGGCTTATTAAAGGAAGCCTCTGTAAGTCTTCAGATTGAAAGGTCCATGAAATGCCTAACAGGATGAATGAAAAAGAAAAAAAAAGATTCATAACTAAGTAACAGTAAATTTTCAAAACACAAGTGGCTAGCATGGGCGACTGGATACAATTGTGGTACCATTTATTGAGATAGAAGTGTTTGGAGTGGAAAAGATCGTAAGGTTGACCATGTAAAAATGGTGACTGTTGAGATACCCAATTGAATGCAGCTGGAATAGGAGCTCTAGGAGCTCGTCATATGGATCTGGGTCCCCAGAGAGACCCAGGGGTTGAAAATCTGGGGGTTATTCATGTTTACAGGACAATCTGTGACAGGGATATTGTCTTAGATCTATGTTTTTCTCTACTGTAGTGAAGAAAAGAAAATAGTGTAAAAGGTTGGGCGCAGTGGCTCACACCTGTAATCCTAGCACTCTGGGAGGCTGAGGCGGGCGGATTGCTCGAGGTCAGGAGTTCAAAACCAGCCTGAGCAAGAGTGAGACCCCATCTCTACTATAAATAGAAAGCAATTAATTGGCCAACTAACATATATATAGAAAAAATTAGCTGGGCATGGTGGCACATGCCTGTAGTCCCAGCTACTCGGGAGGCTGAGGCAGCAGGATTGCTTGAGCCCAGGAGTTTGAGGTTGCTGTGAGCTAGGCTGACGCCAGGGCACTCACCCTAACCTGGGCAACAAAGCAAGACTCTGTCTCAAAAAATAAAAAAAAATAAATAAAAAATAAAAAAATAAAAGCAAAAAAAAAAAACAAAGAAAAAAAGAAAGTAGCATAAGAAGAGAAGGCTGAGGCCAATGTCCTAAGGAATTTCAGAATTTAAAGTGTAAGTAGAAGAGGGCTTGCCAACAAAACAGATTATGAAAGAGCAGCCAGTTAAGTCAGATGTAAACACCAGCAGAATGTAGCATCAGAGAAGCCAAGGGAAAAAGATAGTTCCAGAAAGAGGAAGTAGCCCACTGTGTTGACAGGTTAAGCAAAATAGGATTAAACGTGTCCATTAGATTTAGTGAAAAGAAAGTCACTGATGGGCCGGGTGCAGTGGCTCATGCCTGTAATCCTAGTACTCTGTGAGGCCAAGAGGGGAGCATTGCTTGAGCTTAGGAGTTCAAGACCAGCCTTAGCCAAGAGTGAGACCCCATCTCTTCTAAAATTAGAAAAAATTAGCTGGGCATGGTGGCACGCACCTATAGACCCAGCTACTTGGGAGGCTGAGGCAGAAGGATCTCTTGAGCTCAAGAGCTTGAGATTGCTGTAAGCTAGGCTGACATCACAGCACTCTAGCCCAGGCAACAGAGCAAGACTCTGTCTCAAATAAAAAATTAAAAGTCACTGATGATTGCTTAAGGTTATTTCAGCACTGGTGGGAATAAAACCAAACCAGGGTGGGCTGAGGAGGAACTGGGGGATTAGGAACTAACTAATGGAGTTTGGCTGAGAACAAGAGGAAGGGGAAATGGCCAGAGTGGAGGCTGGAGGGTTTTGTGGGATTGAGGAGTTTTTGTGGTGTTTTGGATGGCTGACCCTTACCTGATTTAAATGTTTATTGGTAGCAAGTACTAGTAAGGAAAAAGTTGAACATCTAGAAAGAGAAAGGATAATCAGAAGTATTCCTAAGAAGGAACAATGGGATTGCCCTTGCCTTTTAAAAGCCTTGGATTCCTGGTAGGAATTAAGTAATAACACATGGATAACCCAAAATTACTATACTAACTCAAAATTACTACACTAACTTCAGACATTCAGCCGAATGCTACAATGAGGAAAAATATGAGCAGAACAAATGAAATCTGCAAATCAGAAAATAGTTACTGACCTAAAATTCCTAGATGACCAACATAATTATCTAACCTGTGCTGTCCAGTAGGACAGCCATTAGCCATGTGTGGCTATTCAAATTAAAATTGAAATTGAGTTTCTTAGCTGCAACAGCCACATTTCAAGTGCTTAATAGCCACATGTGGCTGGTGGCTAATGTAGAACAGTTTCATCATCATATAAAGTTCTATTGGATAGTGCTGGCTAGACTTTAAGCGCTGTTGAGGCAAAAAAAAAAAAAAGAAAGAAAAAAAATCTTAAAATTTTAATTCCTTCTCTAGCATATACCTAACATTTACTGAGTGCTTATTATGTACTAGGTAATGTTCTTTGTTATATTTTAGATAAATAGGTAGACAGATGACACATAGATTTAATGCTCACAGCAACCCTATGCAATAGGTTTTTACTATGTGCATTTTGCAGATGAGAAAATGGGAGTTACAGCTACATAGCTGTCCACACAGCTAGAATGTAGCAAGGCTGACATTGTAACCCAGGCCACATGCCTCAGAACCTGTTATTCATAAGAACTAAACCATAGTCAAATCTTAATACTTACTGTTAAATTTAATTTTTGCTGCTATAGTGAAGTAGTGGGTCTCAAAAGACATAAAATTATATCCTCTGGCATGGAGGCTGCTAAAAGCTAAAACTTAGCTTCGCCTTGGGTTGCCCTGCTGGCATGGAGGATAGGCTCTGTACATTTTATCATTGCTTTTACTGCACAGAGATGGTATCAAGGGAAGCTGGTCAGACTATGGTTCTACCAAAAAGCTCTACCACAGATTTCCTTGTCAGCTCCGCCCATTAAATGAATTAAATTTTGAAAATTTATAAATCATTATCTTATTTCATTTTACTCATAAAATTCTTCTGAGAAGCTGGGCGTGATCATGCCCCAAATCCTAGCACTTTGGGAGGCTGCAGCAGGAGGACCACTTGAGGCCAGGAGTTTGAGGCTAGCATGAGCAAGAGCAAGACCCGATAGCTACAAAAACAGAAAAATTAGCTGGGCATGGTGGCAGCTACTTGGGAGGCTGAGGCAGGAGGATCACTTGAGCCTGGGAGTTTGGGGTTGCAGGGAGCTATAAAGACTCCACTGCACTCTAGCCTGGGCGACAGAGTGAAACCTTGTCTCAAAAAAAAAAAAAAAAAATCTGAGTTTCTCTTTTTCATCCTAGACTAACCTAATACACAGGAGATTTGCTGCATACCTTCCTGTTCTGACCATCACTAAACTATATGTTCTCTTGATTTTCAAATCTCATTGAGTCAAACAATACACTTAGAAATTAATACACTACAAAAGACCCAGGATATGGAATGTTCAGCAAAATTGTTACAAAATAGATTAAGTACCAAGATAACTATTGGATAGGAGAAGTGCCTAAGAACTTTCTTGCCTTGAAGTAGGAGGCTTAGACCAGCCCTGACTGCTTCAGAACTGCTTGGGCTGTCCTACAGTGCCCTTTAGCTAATTGCAACACTCCAATCCCCACCTACTGAAAAACTGTAATATCATTAACATAACATGGGGTGCGTGACAGCATATGATGATGGTAGTGTGCCTGTGTGATTTGTTTCCCTGTGAACAATCAAAAACACAATGTAAAACCTTTGCATTACTCATTGGGAAGAGATTTAAAGCAACACCACAGGGTGGACAAATGCACATTTTGCAAGCAAGGACCTCCTGTGAAAGAAATTCCTCTGCAGCCCAGAACCAAGTGCCCTTGGTAGGTAACCTCTAATAAATTTGTCTAACTTACCAAAAAAAAAAAAAGACCCAGGCTGGACAAGAAAGAGGCCTACTGGTTCAATGTTGAGGTATTTATGATCAAAGTAGCACATTTGCTTTCTCACTATCAAGGTATCATTTTTACTTCTACACCTGCCCCAGTTATTAATAGTTTATAAACAAACTAGAAAAAAAATCTAGCCAGGCACTGTAGAGCAAAGACATTTGCAGAAAGAATCAGCTGCAGGCCTCAGTTTTATGTTTCTCAGACCCCTGAGTAGAGTTGCCAGATATTATATAGAACACCCAATTAAAGATGAATTTCGGACAAGCAGGATATAATTTTGTAACATAACTATGCCTCATACATACTAAAAAAATTATTTGTTGTTTATCTGCAATTCAAATGTAACTGGGCACCATATATTTTCATAATATATAGATTACTAGCTAAATAAAACATAAGTACTTTGCTAAGTCTGGTATGCCTACCCCCAAGGAGATCCAAGCACTTCATTGCTAGGACCTCATTCAAGTTCTTTTGACACTGGTGGAGCAATAAAAGAACAAAAAGGACATTATGATGTCTGTTTATAAGATGATGACTTTATGATTAATCCAATTTTATTTGATATATAAGCTAGGGCAAAAAAAACAGTCATTTTACTCAATCTTCTGATATGCTTTTAAAAATTAAACATAGTATCTTCTGGCAAGATAGCAAGCAATTAAGTTATTATAGTCAGGTAACTTAGCTGTAAGCAGGCAAGAAGTGCAAATATGGAAGTATTTTCATCTTTAAAGATGTAGAAATTTCTGTAAGGCTATAATTCACAAGATTTTCCTCCTACAATGTTCGTTATCTTTGACCTTTCAACTAGACCATGAGAGGTGCTGGGAGTACTGTTTCTTTCTCCTTTATCTGACATTTTTAATCACACAGAGGTCTAAGAAGGTCACCAATTGCTATGGTGTGAATGTTTGTGTCCCCCCAAATGCATATGCTGAAGTTCTAACTGCCAAGGTCATAGTATTAAGAGGTGGTGACTTAGGGGGCAACTGGGTCATGAGGGTAGAGCCCTCACGAATGGGATTAGTGTCCTGATAAAAGAAACCTGAGAGAGATCTCTGGCCCTTCCAACACATGAGGTTAGCATAAGAAGGTTTCATCTAGGAACCAGGAAACAAACTCCACAAGACACCAAATCTGCCAGCACCTGAACTTGGACTTCCCAGCCTCCAGAACTGTGAGAAATAAAATTCTGTTTTTATAAGCCACCCAGTCTATGGCATTCTGTTATAACAGCCCAAATGGACTAAGACACCAACCTACAAGAAACTCAAGGGACACCTAATAGTGAACAGCGGAAGCAGTGAACAGAAATAAGAGCTAATGAAACAGTGTCTGCAACAACTCCCAGGGTGCTGCCTTCCCTTGGGACCCTCCTCCTCCTGGAAGAATGAGCCCCTTGCTCCTTAGCCTGGGGCATAATTGAACTAATCATTCATTCACTGACACCACAGATATTTAATTAGGACCTACCATGTACCAGGCTTGGGAGACATCAGTGAACAGAGCAGGCAAAATCTATGATCTCATGGAGCTTATGTTATCATAGCTCAGGATTCTTTTATTTGTATTTCCTACTAAGCATTTTTGAAATACTTTTTCTTGATCTTTTTTACCTCCTTCCACTATTTCTCTTCTCTGTTTTCCTTTTCTCTTATTTTATACAGTTGACTGTGTGAAAGAATGAAAATAGGATTGTCACTGGTTTCTGTTAATTTTCTCCTAACTGCCAAAGTTTTTATTATATTTGAGAGACAGCAAGATCTAAATTAAACCTAAATTCTTAAAGATGGACTCATTGAAGCTTTCCATGTGGCAGTCAAGAAAAAATAGAAGAGGAGAAGGAAAAGAAAGAAAAGGAGAATGGAGTAAGAAGGAAGAGGAAGAGGAGAGAAGGGGAGGGGAGGGGAGAAAAAGAAGAGCCATGTCTGACTTACCGATTCTGTAGATAAGAACTTTGCTGCCAGTGGGGTCCCTGGATCTCAGGACTCCGTGGTAGCCAGCCTTCAGAAGGCCAAGAATACTTCTAGGGTGTAGATCTGCACTTATTTCTGGGCATTCTGCTCTCCACTTATAATAGTTTTTTAGTAACTGAAAAATAAAATTAAAATGGTCTACAAATAACACACATGGTAAGCATTTTGTAAAAATAGTAGCAAAGCTTTGGCATTGTGTATGAACCTTGCATTTATTATGCCAGGATTTTTATCTGGTGTATCTTTTTAGCTGTAGAAACCAAAAGTTCCCTTCATTAAGGATCTGAGGTGATAGGAGTTAATCATAATTTCAAAGCTGAGTAATTTTCATTCGCCACCTATGGTAGATAGTCTCCAAAAACAGCCACCAACTATTCCTCCCCTGCTGGTATACACATGCCGTTCTTCTCATTAAAAGGTGGAATGTATGTTTGATCCCCTCCCCTTGAATCTGAGCTAGGCTTACACCTTGCTTTGACCAATAGAATGAGGCAGAAGTGACACTGTGCCAGGCTTTCAGAAACCTGGTACCTTCTGAATTTGCTTTTTGGGATCTAGACACTATGTAAGATTACTGAATGATAACAGTTCATGTGGAGAGAGGCCCTGGAGCTTGGGCAGCCATCCTGAGTAGTCTGACTTCAACCAAGATCCCATCGGATGCCATGTGAGGCAGAGATGAACCACACCCACTGAGCCCTGCCTAAACTGGAGATTCATAAACAAATTGTGTTTTAAGCCATTAAGTCTTAGAGTGACATTGTCATTCAGAAATAAATAACTGAAACACCACCTTTAGTCCTTTTTGAATCAATCAAATGAATTAAGAGAGCCTATGGAACAGGATACCTGGATATTAGATGTTGGCAAAATATGGTTAGAAAGAATCTTATTTTCTTTTTCTCCAAAAGCACTACCAGAAATGGTTAATCAACACACACACACACACACACACACACACACACACACACACACTACAAATATGGCCAGCATATTAGAAAATACTATAGCAAATTCCGCATTAAAATTTATATTCTAATTTTCCTCTTTATGATTTTTAGCATTCTCAATTTTTCTGAAATGACAATATGAGATCTCCTAGCAATATGGGACCACAGTTCAGATAAAAGAAAATGACAGGTTTTATATTTGAGAGTCATTGGAATTAACATGGTAACTGTAAACACAAAAACAGCAATGACCTAAAGGAGAAATGACAAACAATTAAAAAAAAAAAAAAGTACAGGGTGAAATTCTGAGCTTTGGAAAACGTCAATGACTGGGAATGGCTGGGGGAAGAGAGCAACTGGATGAACTATAAGACCCAGCACTGCGGGGTATGGAAGGGAGAACAACCTCATCCGTGCTGCTCTGCTCCCTGCTCCCTTGCCCTTTCCCTCTCTCTCTTTCTCTCTCTGATTTTGTCTCCCTCTTTCTCTTGCTGTCTCTCTCCTTCTCTTTCATTTCTGCATTGTAACAAACTTGTCTTAACTTAAAAAAAAAAAAAAAGAATATTGCTAAGGGCTAAATTCAACAGAGAGGTAAGAAGCAAAAGAAATTAGTCAATTTGCCAACAAAGAAATAATCAGTGACCTAAATTGCAGTGAAAACAACAGGCACATTGTAGATCCTGGTATACTCATTCTAGTCTACAAGATGAATTTCTTTTCCTCCTCCTGTCTTGGGGGACACTAGAACAACTGTTAATAGTATTTTTAAATGCCTATTATTTTTTTGATAGTTTTCTCAGACATAAAACATTACAGCATTAAAACTCTTTTTAATTCTAATTCAAGTAAAATGCAGGAAACAGCATATTAGTAACTATTTAAAAATAACAGTTTTATTTTCCTATGGAATGATGTGGCTTCATTAGAAGGGATCTTTTAGGTATTAGAGGCAGAGTGCTCAGCTTATTCATTTCTGCACAGTGCTGGACCCCAAGGAGAAAAGACACATGTGTTGAATGAAACAATAATTTAATGCATGAGTAAACCACTTGAAAAAAATGACTTTTATAAACATGCACAAATCACTGTCATGCCTCTGACCTTAACTTTTGCAAATTGAAATATTTAAACCTAGGTCTTTGATCATTACTTTTTTCCCTGATAAATAAATTGATAGTCCAATTAATACAAATACATTATACAAACTGCTTCTGAGCAATTCTCAAACAAACCACCCTATGTCCACAGCAACAACAACAAAAAATTGGCTAAAAGCGAATATTCAGTATTGGAAGGTTCCTGTTTTGTACAAAAATTTGAAATAAATAAATATTTAAAGATTATGGTTTCACTATTCTTTGTAATAGAGTAAGTTTCTTCTTACATTTTCCACGTACTTTCAAACAAAATAACCACCACCATATTCGTGCCACACGTATAGGGTTTACTAGTATCATTTCATTTCCTCCTCACACTATTGTTATTATTGTTAAGGCATTAAATGCACAAGAAAAATAAAGCTCTGAGAAACTACACATTTGTTCAAGGGCAAAACCTATCAGGAGCAGACTGGAACCTGAAATTGACACGTGATATGATAAATTTTACAAAAGAAGCTACATTTAGAGGGAAATTAGCAGGGAAAGTCTATGGAACTTTGAAAGCTTCAAAGTCTTTGAGAAAACTATAAAGATAATTAAAGGATAAAAAGCTTATCACATATAACAAAAATATAAGGAACCCGGCTACTCATTTGTGGGATGCGTGAGAATGTGTAGAACAGAGAAGTTAACCATTGGTTGTTTTTTACGTTCATTGTTTTAAATCAAAGGGGCAAGTGCAGTGTATTTGAGAGCAATCCTGTGCTCCACCTAAATTCAACTCTCTGCTCCAACACTTAATAGCTACATGATTTTTGACAAATTACTTATACCTTATATTTCAGTTTCTTCTAAAATGAGAATATAATAAGACAATCCATGCAAACACCATTTACCAAAGTACCTGGCATTCCACAAGCATATTAGCTATTAGGATTATAAAAACCTTATTAATCCATTGTAACTTCACATATAAAAACTAGAATATTGAGAGATTTCATCGTAACTGAGGTATTTATCAAGCTTTCTTTACAAAAAACTATAGGGCTTTTATATTAAAAATAAGGGAGTCTGAGTTTAATTAACTACCATTGCAGAGGAAAATGAAAAAACAGTTTCACTCTTCCCCTTCCCCTTTCCTTTCCAGTTGGCAGAAATGTAAGGCAATGAGTTCACAGACAGAAGCTTGACTTCTGTCCAGTGGACTTAGACACAGTCCCGCTAGCCAATTCCTCAAGGGAATGATGGAATGAAAACAATTCAATAAAATAAGGAATACAGAAAAAAAAAATCACAGAGGCTGAATGTAAATTTTATTTCTTTTTCTATTTAGACATTACTTTTTAAAAAGTAGCTAAAATGAAATCAGTAAATGACATACTTTTTATGGTTAGTTATTTCTATGTTTAATGCCTTATTGAAACTGCACTCTTCATAGGACCTGAGATTGGATCTTCATATTCAACAGCTACTGAGTACATACTCGTTTATTATTCATGAGGCTGGAACATTCACGTAGCCATCTGACATAATGAAAATGAATGAAGCTGGATCCCTATTTCTCTCCTAACATTTAAATAAATCCCAATACGTAAAATGACTCCAACATAAAAAAGAGAAGCCATAAATTACTAGAAAACATTCTGGAAAAGAGAAGAGCTTATAAAAACCCAGAACCCATAAAGGAACAATCAAATCAATACATTTCATTACATAAAAAATTTTAGTCCTTGCACTCTGGAAGGCTAAGGCAGAAGGATTGCTTGAGGTCAAGAGTTCAAGACCAGTCTGAGTGAGACCTCATCTCTACCACAAATAGAAAAAATTAGCCAGGTGTGGTGATGCCTACCTATAGTCCCAGCTTACTTGGGAGGCTGAGGCAGAATGATTGCTTGAGCCCAGAGTTCAAGGTTGCAGTGAGTCGATGACATCACTGCATACTACTTGGGGTGACAAGAGTGTCTTAAAAATTAAAAAAAAAAATTAAATTCTGTACAGAAAGAAAATAGTATAAATAATGTCAAAAGAAAGGAAACAAGCTAGGACAAAGGCCTATTTTCTTGGATACATACAGATATTTTATAAGTCACTAAAACATAAAAATGAACAAATGGCAAAAACAGGCCATTTCCAGTTAAATGGAAAAGAATTTTAAAAATTTACATATATAAAAGATAATCTCACTTATAGTTAAATAAATGCATGTTTTAATAACAATGAAAAACTTTCTCATCTAGCAAGTTTGCACACAATCAGGTTTGATAACACAGTGGTAGGTGATAATATGAAGAAAAAGGCATCATTATGTAATTGAGTGATAAAATCAGTGCAAATCCTTTAGAGAACAGTTTTTTATATTCCTCAACACTGAAAAATATACATCTCACTTCATCCAGTAATTTCACACGTTGAATTTATCCTATAAGGATACATTCCTATTTATGCACGAAGTACAAAGACATACTAAATGCCAGTCAGTGATGGAAGAAACCACAGCCGCCTTGTTCATCTCATCTCGTGTACTACTAGGGGAATTGTAGAAGTAATAATCATTGAATGAAGGAATGAACAGCATAAAGGCAGCACTGGCATCAGCTGGCAATGAGCCCTATGCCCAATAACAGGGGACTGCTTGGATACATTTTAATACAGTGTAATATATCCTGTATATTGACAGTATAGTGTATCCTGTATATAATATATATTATATTATATTTATAATACTGTATCCTTTAATACAGTATAATACATCCTGTATAATGACAGCAGCCCCATAAGCAGTAAGATGGATGTATACAAGCTGGTATGGGATGATCCCTCTGCTAAGACAGGCAAGAAAGGCAAAATGGAAAGCACACACACATGCTTGTGTGAACACTGTGTCTGCAAAGATAAATAAGAAACAGGTCACAGTAACTGCCCTCTGGATACCTGACTGGCAGACTAAGATTTGGAGTAGGGAACTTTTTTCTTTTAGAAAAGTTACTTTTAGAAACTTACTTTGCACTTTTTACTACTTTGTGTTACCTGGATTATTATTACCATACCTTGACTTTTTCAAGAAAAATTAGTTCAAAAACAACCCAGAAAAACCTCATACTGAGACACCTTAGAATTGTGTACCATTAGTACCATCCCTGCCACCCAGCTTGCAGCCTGGCACTGAGGAAGCCACTTGGAGAAAGGGGCTAGGTCCGGTCCAAATGCTGAGTGCTTCCCACGTGCCAGGCACTGTGCTGGGCACAGCTTGTTCTGTTAACCCGGTTAATGTTCAATCCTCGCAACCAGTCAACGAGGTAGATGTTTTCACCATTATTTAACAGATAAGGATGATGAGCTTAAAGTGACAGAACTCAAGGCCACATCCCTCTCACATTCCTGTCTTTCCCGCACCTGGTCTGTGACATACCAGGGAACACAAAGAATCGCCCCACCCTTCCCAACCCCACGACCCCCCACCACTCGAAATACACTGGGCTGCTTTACTGTCTCGACACTTAAGTATTGCTGTTAATAATGCGGCTTCGGAACTTCAGTTCACCAGCAATTTCATGTCCCCGCCACCCGGCGTTAATCTGCTCACAAGTGGCAAGTCTGAGTTTCCAGCTTCTCGGCTGTTACTCTGTTTCGCCGCACAGGCTTTCCTGCAGGGAGACAAAGGCATTTCCCCCCAACTGTATAGGCTCGGAAGCCCGATCTAGGGCGAGAGTTCGGTGCTCGGAACCATTAAACAGGCCGTCCCCCCAGGGCTCCGGCTCTTTCCAGGTTTCGAGGACTTCGCGACTCGGAGAAACTGGAAGGGCGAGCGCGGCTCGTCTCGCAACACCGCCAGCCGCCGCGCCGGCGCGGGGCGCGTCCGTGCGCGTCCGCGGCCGGGCTCGGGTTCCCCGCCCGGGTCCTGCCCGCGCCCTGGCTTCCGGAGGGCCGGGCCGCGCAGGGACCGGGCACGCTTACCCGCCAGGCCAGGTCCAGGTCGAAGTCGCGGGCGCGCAGGAACCGCAGCAGGAAGGCGTCGCTGAGCGGCAGCGGCGCGTGCGGGACGCCCGCCTCCAGGGCCCCGCGCCGCAGCTCGGTCAGGCCGGGCTGCAGCAGCGGCGAGTGGTCGGGCAGCGCGTTGAGCTGCGGCCCCGCCGCCGGCCCCTGCCCGGTCTCGGCCATGCCCGCCGCCGCCATCGCCCGGCGCCCGGCAACGCGGCCCCGCCGCCCTCGCCCTCCTCCCAGGCGGCGGCCGGCGCACGCCCCCCTCCCATCCGCCCGCCGCCCGGCTCGCACACCCGGCGCGGGCGCCCCCGCGGGTGCCAACCTCGGCTCTGGTCGCTCTGGGTGGTAACCGGAGCCTTTCCCGGTGAGGGAAGTCGCTGGCGTTCAACGCCCAGTGCACCAGGTCAAAAAGTTAGTTGGGTCGCTTTTTAAAAATCTGCTAGAAATTTTTTTTCTTCTTCTTCTTCTTCTTCCTTCCTCCCTCACGTCCTTCCTTTTTACAACCTTGGATCCAAAGGAACCTGAGCACTACCAGTTTACTTAATGGCTCCGTGCCAGACGTGCCACCGAGCGCTTCTTCCTCCTCCCTCCTCCCGCCTCCCTTTTCCTTCCATAAAACTCCAAACAGACCCGGCCTCAAGCTGTATTACAAGAATGGTTTCTAAAGTGCACGTCCCACAGGCCCACCTTAGCAGACTCACTCCTCCTCCCCTTTCTCCCAGTGTGGGAAAACTTCTCAGTTCGTGGCACCTGGCCCTATTAGGAACATCACAAATAAATGACCAGCACGCATCCCCCTACCTCAATTTTTTTTTAACACCATGAACTTAAGTCCGTTACACTCCAGCACCATTAAACTTTAAGAGAGTCTAGTCAACAAATGGACAGTCCGAAGCCCTTACAGGATTGCAGATAAAACAGGGAAATGATGTGGAAACCTGAAAGGTCATTAAATTGTTCTTTTCTTGATTTCTAGCTATTGAAACTATCCTAGAACTGACCTTCCCTAAGAGGGAATCCACGAAACTAATTCTTATTAACTGTATACTATGTGCTAGGTAATGCTGAACTTGCAAAACCAAATGAAAACCAAATTCTTGCCTTTAAGCTTAGAGCTCAGAGGGTAGCTAGCCAGGAAGACTGACAGTTCTATTCATTAAAGAGTTGTTGAGCGATTGCTGTGTCCAGATCCTTTTCTGGGGCCTGGGGGTACTCCTGTGAACAGCACAAAGAAAGCTCTTGCCTTTAAGGAGTTTTCATTCTTGTCGGGGAAAGGAGGTGGTTGGGTATACAACAAACATGATAAATCAGAAAATGAATATGGTGTGAAGGAAAATAAAAATCTCAAGACCACCCCCCTAACTCCTTATGCAAAAGGGAGGGTCAATCCTGGAGGCTGAGTCATGCAACACCCCCTTCTAAATGAATAGCTATTGCTAACATTATGCATTAGCCTGATCCTCACCAAAAGGCAAAAAAAAGCCCTCAGGCATCTATAAGGACTGTCCCCATGGATCATTCATGAAGAAATCCCTTGGTGGCTTCCCATAAACAAGAACATGCAACTTGTAACTTTAGGTCTACGGGTTAAGTCTAGCTCCTAACACTCTGTTCCACACTAAACAGAAAAGATACAAATATTACTTTTTACTGTTAAAAGAAGGGTAAAAGTTGAGTGGCGTGGCTTAGGCCTGTAATCTTAGCACTCTAGGAGGATTGCTTGAGGCCAGAAGTTCGAGACAAGCCTGAGCAAGAGTCAGAGCCCATCTCTACAAACTATAGAAAAATTAGCTGAGTGTGGTGGTGCACACCTGTAATCCCAGCTCCTGAGGAGGCTGAGGCAGGAGGATGGCTTCAGCCTAAGAGTTTGAGGTTTCAGTGAGCTGTGATAATACCATGGCACTCCAGACTGAGCAACTGCCCACCACTGCTAAATTTGACTAGCTTTAAAACAAAATAATAATAATAAAAAAAAAACAGACTGGGCAACTAAGCAAAACCCTGTTTCAAAAAACAAAAAAATGTTCACTTGGCCAAGTAGTTAAAAAAAAAAAAATGAAGAAACAAACCAAAAAAACCCCATTTCAGCCCTCAATCAGTTTAGTTCCATGTAATTAATTCTTGTTCTGCTTGATATTGAGTTAACAATTTTCATGAACCCATCAGTCTCTTTTTTAGAGTTCTGGAAGTTTTTACCTAGTTCAGTAGTATTATCTCCAAAGTTATCAGAAACTTGTGTTCAATTGTTAGGGTCCTTTTCAGTAATTTCCTTGAAGATACAGCACTTTAGAATTTGTAAAGAGCTTTTAGGGAAAAAAAAGGCAAATTTACAGCATATATCAAGACAGAGTTTTAGGAATCTCATACAATTTGAAACACTTACAGATATAAATGTAACTCAAAGACAGGTAAGTACCATTTCTTATTTAACAGTGCCTCCCATATGATTTTAGCCCTACATATTAGAGATACATATTAGGCCAGATAAATATGTAGAGATACATATTAGGCCAAATAAGCCTAATATGTATCTCTTGGACTTCCAGGGATCTTGTTTGAACTTCCAGGGGCCCTGGAGTCCACAAATTAGTTCAACAGCAAAAGGACTTAATTTTAGAGTTTGATTTTGAAACGTTTTTAAAACATCAAGGGTTTAAATGGCTCATGCCTGTATTCCTAGCACTCTGGGAGGCCACAGTAAGGGGGATTGCTTGAGCTCAGGAGTTCAAGATCAGCCTGAGCAAGAGCAAGACCCTGTCTGTACTAAAAACAGAAAAATTAGCCATGCGTGGTGGTGTGCACCTGTAGTCTCAGCTACTTGGGAGATGGGCAGGAGGATCATATTAGCCCAGGAGTTTGAGATTGCAGCGAGCTATGATGATGCCACCACATGCTAGCCAGGATGACAGAGTGAGACTCTGTCTCAAAAATAAATAAATAAATAAATAAAAACCTAGGTAGCAAGCAATATTAATTGATAAGTACCAGATGAAGAGCCCGGGGTGAAGGGCACAGCTGTGTGTAGACAATGACTGCAGGATCCCACCCCTCCCAGCATGGCCAAGAGGCAAAGCTGGCTGAGGGAGGACAGGACCCTATTGGGCTTGGATCTGCTCTGTAGCTGGTGGCCCAGGTCCTGGGACTCAAGTTCCTGGGCCTCTCCATGGCCACTTGACCATACCCCAGAATCTACAGGCTCAAAATGAAAGACATGAGATCACAGACATATTAAACAGGTATCAAAAATATCATAGAAGCAACAGTTTCATGACCTTAAAACTCACATCAGAAACAGTATAAATGTATCTGACTGGTAGACCCAGGCAAAAATGTCTAAAATTCTGAGACATTTCTATTTTATTTTACTAATACAAACAATTCTGAAGTTAGCTTCATGTACCAAAAATTACTAAAGTACCTGAACTCGAAAAGCACTTGGGCTTATTTACTTAATTTATGAATATTCATTTATCAGTCAATTTGGTACCATGTAGACAATATACAAATACAGACGTGTACATACAGACACAAAAATACAAACACAAAGATCTTTTAGTTTTGATTTTTGCATTTTAGCCACGAGGTAAAACTCACTAGCTTTAAAAGACAGTTTTATTAAATATTGGCTCTGTAAGTGAAACGAGTTAAAGTTTATCTGTCACACATGACCAAAGCACTTACCAAGTTTCAGAAAGAACAGAGTATGAAATTTAGGTCTCAAAGCAGAGAGAGAATTTCAGCTTTTTCAGGGAATTTGGGTGTGTTAGAGGAAGGTTAAAAACAGATGCCAGGGTAACACAAAATCATAGGAATTCACCACAGGATTTTATAAGGAGACCAATTTCATTAAGACAGGTATGTAGCTTCGATTAATAATTCAGTCTCTGTTTTCCAGCTGGACCACTGAGCTCAGGGCAGAGCCCATGAACAAATTGGAACCACAAAACATTTGCAGTTTTAACATATTTAAACATGTAAAAATGAGGAACAGCTAGAAGACAGAGCAGCTAGATCTTCAAAAATGAAGGATTTCACCTTGACATTTAATCTCAGTCCCCCCCAACAGAGGGAAATGCCATAGTGATAAGGAAAACCCCCATCTATTACTTGGTGGTCAGCCAACTGATACTCCCACCTATCACCAAGACCCGCATCAGCATAATACTAAACCTATTAGCTGGTGCATCAACATAATACTAACCTATTACCTGACACATCAACTAACCTGTTAACTGGTGGGCATTAGCCACCTGAGACCCCACCCCTTGGACCACCCCATCTTAATAAAAGTGGGAAAAATCAGGTAGATGAGGCTCAGAATTTGGTGGTGAGACCCCTCTGAGCCCGCCAGTGAATAAAGAATAAACTTTGATTTCTCCAACTCTCCGTGTGCTGCTCAGTTTGTCCTCGAAAACACCCACTGTAACACCTGCTTTAACAATGGGACCAGGCCATATATAACACTTCCACAGTGTACCCCAAAAGACATTTCCTCTAGGCTGGTGGGTGACCGATGCCAATCAACCCACTCTGTCATCAGCCCATCCCCCAACAAGAGTCTCATCCCTTGGTGGCAATTGTTTCCACAGCCTCCAAGTGTTCAACAGTGCCTTTCCTACCTAAACGTGGAAAGAAGCCAGGCTTGGTGGTTCATGCTATAATCCCAGCCCTTTGGGAGGCTGAGTCAGGAGGATTGCTGAAGCCAGGAATTCAAGGCCAGCCTGAACAACATAATGAGAATCTATCTTTAAAAAAATTAAAAATAAAAAAAAATTAGCCAGGCATGGTGGTGTGAAGTATGCTGCTTAAAATCTTAAAGAGCTTGGACACTGGATGGGACATGACCCAAAATTCATGCCCTCCCTCACAGATGGTGGAGACCAAGGGAGAGTGCTCTTACTTGGTAACAAGGCAAGCGTTCAAGGACATAATACAAGACAAGAGGGGAAGCTCATCCAGTTTTTATTCTGGGCATCCACAGCAAAGTTTGTCTAAACAGATGCTAGCATGATCAGAACTGCAAAACTAACCAGTGTTAGCAGGGCTGATGTGAATAGTGGGCTTGTAGGGGTTATAGGCTCACATTCTACACTACAGTATCCCTCTTTATAACAGAACAACAGAGAAAGACAAATACAAAAGATAAGACTTTCTAGGAAGAAAAGGATCACACAATA